AAAAACCAACTGCCAGTGCTAAAACTAGGACAGTCCTGGGTAAACTGGGATGGTTGGTTACCCTGAGTTGGTCACCCAACCCACCGGCCTACAGCTGATAGTTCGGAAGTAAGCCCAGAGGGTTCTGAGTAGTCAGATGGTTCATATATGGAAACTTGCTGATTTGCCTCACAGAGACTTTCAGAATATTCCTTGACACCCCCTTTCCTCCATTTTACATGCAGTTCTTTTTTTTTTTTTTTAAGATTTTTATTTATTTATTTGACAGAGAGAAATCACAAGTAGGCAGAGCGGCAGGCAGAGAGAGAGGAGGAAGCAGGCTCCTTGCTGGGCTCCATCCCAGGATTCTGAGATCATGACCTGAGCCGAAGGCAGAGGCCCAACCCACTGAGCCACCCAGGCGCCCCTTACAAGCAGTTCTAAAAAGCTTGGTTATTTGGTTTCCAGGTGCCTTGTTGATTAGAAACTGAACATTGGAAGGGGAAGTGGTTATTGTAGAAAGGCACACTGATTACGATGGTCAGGGACATCTGGCTGAAGGTGGGAGCAAGGAGAATGAAGTCTAAACGAGTAAAAGATGAAATCATTACAGTGGTCAGGAGACGTTTATCACAGTGGCAAACATACCTTAATAAAAATAGCTGTTACTGAACACTATGTGTTGGACACTATTTTAAGCACTTATAGGAATCACATAATTCAATTCTTCTAAAATAATTCTATTATCCCTGTTCCTCAGATGAGGAAACTGGGGCACAGAGAAGTTAACTAACTTGCTGAAGATCACACAGCCAGTAAGTAGTAAAGCCAAGATTCAAAGTTTCCAGAGCCCAGATCCTCAACATCCTGATTCACTGTAGATCCTGGATGCTGAGGAGGTAGCACAACAACTTGTGATATTTATTTTAATGTCCTGAATCACCTAAGAAAAAAAAAATAAAGCATGGACATTACATTTTACAGTAGTCCCCCCTTATCCATGGGAATATGTTCCAAAGTCCCCAGTGGATACCTGAAAACGTGGTTAGTACTAAATCCTATATCTACTATGTTTTTTCCTATACATACATACCTATGATAAAGTTTAAGTTATAAATTAGATACAGAAAGAGATTAACAATAACTAATAATAGAACAAATATAACAATATAGTAAATGAAGTTATGTGGATGTGGTGTCTCTCTCTCTCACTCAAAACATCTTACTGTAGTGTCCTCATCCTTCTTCTTGTGGTGATGTAAGATGATAACATAACTATGTGATGTGTTGAAGTGACATGATGACCTAGGCTTTCTGATTGTTATGCCCAAGTTTTTGCGTCTGAGAGACTACCAAGGAGCCAACACCGATGCAATCACACGAGGGTTTATTTAACAAGCTTAAGCTTGGGCCCAAGTATACCCAACACAGCGGAGCAGGGACTTGGACCCCAAGCTTAGTTAAGGCAGGGGTATTTATGGGTTCCTGTTCCTAAAGCAGGGTGGGAATTCCTGTTCCTAAAGCAGGGTGGGGGTCTCTGGAACTAAAGCAGGGTGGGGCTTCTTAGAACTAAGGTGAAGTAGGGGAAAGTTCAGCCCTTGGGCACAGGGGTCTGAGATGGCTGCCAGAGCTAAGATGGCTGTACTTATGCTAAGGCTAAACCTGAGGTGGGATGGCCTTAATTTTTCTCGGCCTCCACAGTGATGTAGCCTTAGGCAACTATTGGCCATCTGATGAATCGTCAGGGATCCTACGCTTCTGGACAGCTACTGACCCCAGGTCTCTGAAGCCCCAGAAACCAAAACCGTGGATGGGGTGGAGGGTGTACTACTGTATTTTGTAGGAACTAATTTTTAAAAAAATTTTATCAAGTTATTCATGGACATAGTGTGACAAAAAGCCATTACTCCCCTCCCCCAGCTCATTTCCTGCTCTGCAGAGACTGCTTTCAAGTCTTGTAATTAGGTGATTCTTGCTGGTAGTTACATCTCTTGTCTCTAAACAACATACTGGATATGTCTATGGTCAATTTTCAGTTTTAAGCATTATTTAAATGCCTATGCCTAGACACTTTACCACGGAAGAAGAGAATTTTAACTCATTTCCTCCACATCTGCCTCTACCACACGTGTGTGCCATTTCTGGCCCCTACTCTCAAGTTCTGTCATAGTTTTAGTTAGATCAGTACGTCCTGGGCTTGTTTTTTCTTTACATCTTCCCTCTGGGGCTGGGCGGATTCTCCAGAGAGCATTTGAACCACCCGCCTGTGGAGAATGCCTGTGTTCTGGAAGTTCCAGAGTATGTGTGTGGGGGGGTGGGGGGATGCGGAGGTATCTCAGTATTTAGAGGACTGCGTTCTAAGCAGACTTCCAGTATTTTTAGCCTTGACCTTACCCTCCCCTCATCTCCAGCAGTGTTTGGGGCTCTGAATGCCTGAGGCTTTCTGTAGATTGTGTGATAAACTGCTTTTTGGCTTTCCCTAGTGGCAGGTAAAGAGTCATCTTTCTCAGGTCTGCTCCTTAGTTACCTCTTGTCCATTTACTTTCTAGCTTCCACATTTTGTTGCTGTTGTTTTCACTCATTCTCTTTGTCCTTGTGAGTTCATGTCTAAAAGAAAAACAAAACAAAACCAAACCCCTCTTTTTACTGTTATGTTAGTGGGATTTGGGGAGGTAGCTGACCTAAGGTGTGTGTTTGGTACGCCATCTTTATCCTAAAGTTGGAAAGACATTTTAGAAAACTTTCACTGTGGAGAGTCAAAAAAAGTTTGTGTTGCTGGGGCGCCTGGGTGGCTCAGTGGGTTAAGCCTCTGCCTTCGGCTCAGGTCATGATCTCAGGGTCTTGGGATCGAGCCCCGCATTGGGCTCTCTGCTTGGCATGGAGCCTGTTTCCCCCCTCTCTCTCTGCCTGCTTCTCTGCTTACTTGTGATCTGTCAAAAAAAAAAAAAAAATTGTGTTGCTCCAATGGGAAGATCACTAGTTCTATGAGAAATGGAAGTTTTACTTCTATGTGCTACTCAAAATGTAGTTCTAAGACTAGGACTACCCATCCTACCTGGGTATCACCTGGGCCCCACCCAAACTGATTGAATCAGAATTAGCATTTTATCAAAATCCCTAGGAGCGTCCTAAGCATGCTGAAGATTGAGAAGTGCTAATATGAAGTACTTTACTCAATTCCTACTGTAATTAGGATAAGCTAATTTTAATGCATCTTAATCTAGGACTTAAAAATTTTGGTATATTCACTTACTAAATTCTCCAAATTCTAGAGGTTGCTGTGAATAATATAGAGGAGTATGTAAGTTTTCATGAATAAGCATCCTTTCTCCCTTTATAAACCATGTCTGTCCATCTGAGTCAACATCAGATGTGAACCCAAAATTCCATGTCATTTGCCATGAGAGATTTCAGACTGGTTCTATTCAGGCTTTTTAAGCTGCCCACAGTTCTTGAGGCTGGTGATAGGGTTTTATAGATTGGGTAGGTTGAGTTTTCAGTCACACATCAAGCTGCCAAAGTTAGAGGGTGGCTTCCCCTGAAGGCAAAGGATAGATTAATTAGTTTAAGCCCAGCCTCTGTCACAGTGACAGGTATATGCTCAGCAAGTGATTGTGGGATGAGGGAACAAAAGATACAATTCCTGTCTTCAAAATATTCACCAACCAACATAACTTGGATGTCACCATGTAGGGTTGATCAGCTCTAGGGAAGAGTAAGCACAGAGAAGGGGCATCTAATTTAGCATTACTGGCAGAAGGAGCCAAAAGGCTACGTGATTTGGTGAGCCTAGCTTGGTGCGTTTAGAGCAGCGGCTGTCAGTTTAGTGTTTATTAGAATCACTTGGTGGGCTTGTTAAAACAGAGACCCTGTCACCATCCTGACAATTCTGACTCAGTGCACGTGGGGTGGGCCCAAGAATGTGCATTTCTAACCACATCCCGGGTGATGCTGATGATACTGATTTCACATTTTGAAAACCACTGGTTTTAGAGAATTATAAAGAGTTCTTGTGGCTGGAGTCAGGGGACAGGGAATGGTGGGTGATACTGAAGGCAGAAGTCTAAGGAGTAGGGATTTCATTAGGGAGCTTGTGGGGGGTCTGGTTTTCCAGAGGAGAGTGGTGGACACCCATTTGCATTTTGGAAAGATCATTTTGGGTGTGGTGTGGAGGATGGATCAGCAGCAGGGCTAGGTTAGAGGCCAGGAAATTAAGTAAGTGGATGATCATAGACATCCAGATGAGAAATAATAAAAGCTTGGAGTACAGGTGGGAGGAGGAAAGACCCCTAGAACTTGGTGGCCAGTTGGAAGTGGGAGGGGAAGAGGGGGAGGAGTCACAGTGGACCATCAGCTCTCTGGCTGGCTTGGTGTTGGGATTGTGTCACCAAAACCAGGAAGAGAGGGGGTCTGAAGCAGGGTCTGGAAAGAAGAGCAAAGGAGGTAAGTCAAGGACAGGACATGTTGAGTTTGAAATGCCAGCAAGAAATCTGGGTGGACCTCCCAGTGAAGAGTTTTCTTTCTGGGTCTGGAGGCCAGGAGAGGCCTGGTAAGTCATCTAGCCCTGTCCCTTCAGCCACTTTCATTTGAACTCCTGTGTTGTTTGATTGAATCAGGCATTGCATTTGTGAAGAAACACTACTGTATAACCTTTCAGGACCTGAAGAATGCAATACTTTTAAAGATCCTTTCTCAAGAAAACAAATATTCTACTCTTTTGATTGGGGGAAAAGAAAGAGTTGGAGTACCAGTCTTCTAACACCAGAAGAGGTTAATACAGCTCCCTTTGGTCTGAGAGGCCAGTGGAATTGGGTTTTAGTAAGCTTGAAAGGAGCAAAATCACTTGACTGGTCTTCAGGCCATATGACGAACAGCTGAGACTAATTAGCTGGATTGTGGATTTTTTACAGAGATGCCTGATTTTGAAAGTTGTTGGAGTGGACTGCTTTTCAAAAGACTCTTTTGAAAAACTTTTATAAGCAGGCGATTCTGACTTTAACATTTCTTTTTGTATTACATAGACAAAAAGTAACCTTTTTGAAGAGGACATGTGATTGGACGTTGTCTAATTGTTGAAGTGTTGGGAGCAACGTTTCTAAAGTTTTAGAAAAACCACCAACGACTTATACTCCCTCCTTCAAGGTATGGTTTTGTGTTTAAATATGTATATAGGGGCGCCTGGGCGGCTCAGTGGGTTAAAGCCTCTGCCTTCGGCTTTAGTCATGATCTCGGGGTCCTGGGATCGAGCCCCGTGTCGGGCTCTCTGCTCAGCAGGGACCCTGCTTCCCTTCCTCTCTCTCTCTGCCTGCCTCTCAGTCTGCTTGTGATCTGTCAAGTGAATAAATAAAATCTTAAAAAAAAAATAGAAAAGAAGTATGTATATATACATGTTTTTTTGTAGAGGTTTCAAATTCTGCCATGCCAGTTTTCATGTACTTAGAGTATGTTCAATTTACCATAAAATACCACTGCCTGTGTTAACTTTTTCTTTTTAAACCAAAGACTCTAAAACACCTGCTTAATTTCTGGGGGTGTAGTTTGAAAATTTTCAAATACCATCGGGTATATATGAATACTGACTGCATTTTTCCTTTCTTTTCTTAACTGTAATAAAGTAACATAGGTTTTTATTCTCAGATAATATGTTTTCTTATTTAAACTCAATTAGCCAGTGTACAGTACATCATTAGTTTCCGGTAATATGTTGAATAAGAGAGCTGATCAAGGAATGAAATTGCTCTAAGAGTCTTGTTCATCCTCTGAGGATTTCACAAAAATTCCAGCTTATTGGGATTTTGTTTTTAATATTGTTAACAGCTTTAATGGAGAAAAGCTTTATCTAAATATGTGTTTTACCATAAGGTATATTTCTTCTATGAATTAAATTTGCTCCCAAAGAATTGTTAATTTTGTTAGGTTTTGGGGTAGTATTGTGGTTATGTAAGGAAAGGTCGGTATATTTTGTAGGTGCTTAGTGACAGGACGCAGGAGTGAAGGACCTGGGGGTGGGGTCTCATGAGGTTTCATGTTCATGACACAGTTCTCTCTCCTTCCGGGTCTGTGTGGGTTTGCCAGGATTGCCCTGACAAAGTGCTACAAACTGGGCAGAAGGGTGTTGGCAGGGTGGGTTCCTTCTGAGGACGATGAGGAAGAATCCGTTCCAAGCCCCTCTCCTTGGCTTGCCGATGGCCGAGTCTCCCTGTGTCTCATCTTCTCGTCTTCCCTCTCTGAGTGTCCTTATATGAAGAAGGAGTTTGGAGGCAGACACTCAGGTCATACAGCTGATTAGTGTCAGCGTCCAGGCAAGTCCCGACTTCCACTCCGGGATGCTGACCAGTTCTTGGTTTTGTTTTCTTTGCTGCGAGTCCAGGCCTTTCTCGTAGGAGTGAATCCAGGGCCCTGATGATCAGAAGTAACTATGGGAAAAACCTTAATTAAAAGTCGACTTTGTCTGTCTAGATTCTTGGATTATAAATTTAAAAAAAAAAATTTTTTTTTTTTAAAGAAAAAGTGTTGTGGCCAGAGTGTTTATTCATGAGGGCATCGTATCCATACACCGTCCAGGTTGGAGTTCATACATTCCAAAGGAGTTTATCCCCATCTTGATTGCTTTCTGTGTCTCTTACAACTTTCCCCTTGTCCTTTCCAGACACAGTGTTCAGTGACCCAGCAGCCATTAGAAAACAACAACATGATTTTTTTCTTTTTAGTTGCTGCTGCTCACAAGACAGGAACTGTGGCAGCAAATGCTGATGAAACCTTGTGGCCAGGAGGATGGCACCATAGCAACCGAGACCTGCGCCTTTGAGCGGGTCCCAGAACCCAGGCTTCTCTTGCTGCTGTTCCAGTTTCCGTCCTCTCAGAGACCCTCAGCACCCGAGTGCTGAAAGAGGAAATGCCCACCACTTCCCTCTGTTTCTGTTTTCTCCTTTTAGGATTAAAGCTTCCTGAGACCCCTTTTCATCTTTGGCTGTCCTTCCTTTCTTTGCCCTCTGCGCTTGGTGGATTTGTAGCTAGAGCTCAGGGCAGAGCACAGTCAGGGCTGATGAGTCACATAAAGCCCCTTAAAAACAAAGGCTGATTTTTGCAGAAGCCGTAATTCATTTGTGCTGTCTTTGCAATAGGACGTCTTCCAGCTTGCTTCTGTGCTCCTGGGGTTACCGCAGTAAGGCTGGGGCCCTGCCCTCTGGCCTGGGTGTGTTCTCTGGGGGCTGGAGGGTAGGGAGGGAGGGAGTGATGAGTGAGATCAGCAGTGCTGCTCAGGAGAGGAGTTTGCATTGCTGATGATTCTCTGGAGGCAGGAGGCACCTTGCTCACACAAAAATACCGATCATCCTTCCAGGAACCCAGAACATCAGTTTGTTTGTTTGTTTTCTCCATTTCATACTCCTTTAGGTTTCTCTTCTCCCTGATGTTGTCTGAGCAGGGAACCTTTAGCTATGAATGCGAGATTCGTCGCTCTGCAAATATTGAATGGATCCCCTGTTTGCACAAGAAGGAGAAAGTCCAGATGTCTTTAAGCTGCCACCTCTGTGCTTTGGTGACTGTGGACTATTGTTTTAAAAATCTCTTCCTAGTGTCCTTCTTGGGTCTTTCTTCATTCTCATTGGTCCTCTCAGCTCTCCCATGGCCTCAGGAAATCAATTATGTTCGTAACTCTAAAATCCATATTCTTTTTTTTAAAGATTTTATTTTTTTGACAGACAGAGATCACAAGTAGGCAGAGAGGCAGGCAGAGAGAGAGGAGGAAGCAGGCTCCCCTCTGAGCAGAGAGCCCGATATGGGGCTCGATCCCAGGACCCTGGGACCCTGGGACCATGACCTGAGCCGAAGGCAGAGGCTTTAACCCACTGAGCCACCCAGGCGCCCCTAAAATCCATATTCTTAACACTGATTCTTCTTTTGAACCCTAGTTCTGTGTTCCATATGCGAGTTAAACGCAACTCCCTGGATGGCCAGCATGTCTAAGGGACATTTAATTGATCATGTCTGGTACACTGTAGCATTGTAGTCGTGTGTCTGGATTTGAATGCTGGCTCTACAGTTGATTGGTTATGCGTCCTTGAAGAAGTTATTTAACCTTTCTGTGTATCAGTCTTATTATCTGAAAATTAGAGCCCTTATAGGGTTGTTATGAGGATTAAATAAGTTGGTATTTTATTTATTTCTAAAGATTTATGTATTTGAGAGAAGGAGAGAGAGAGAGAGAGAGCACAAGCAGGAGGGACAGAGTGAGAAAGAATCCCAAGCAGATTCCATGTGGGGTGTGGAGCTTGACTTCCATATCATGACCCTGAGATCATGACCTGAGTTGAAACCAAGAGTCAGATGTTTAACCGACTGTGCCACCTAGGCACCCCTAAAAAAGTTGGCATTTTAAAGGACTTAGAAAAGCACTCAGTAAGTGTCAGTTATAATAATCATAATCTCAAGTCATCTTTTCCTGTCTTCATTAACAATAATACCATTAATTCTGTTAATAAAGCAAAAGTTTTGGTTATCTTTAACTTGTATACCAGTCAGTTAAGAAGTTATACTGATTTTTTCTACCTACTAAAATATGTCTTGAATTATTCCTCTTCTTTCCCACTGTAACCAACCCAAGTCAAATCATCACCTCTCCCATCCCATGCTGACCCTCTGTTGTGTATTCCCAGTCTCCACGGGCTGCCAGAAAGATCTCTCTAAGGCAGACACCTCGTGTCCCTCTCTTTTATCGAAGTCTGCAGTGGCTTTCCATTGCAGAGGATAACACGGACTTTTTACATTACAGAGGAGTCCTTTCGGGCATCGGTTGCAGAGTCTCTTCCACCTTTCTAGCCCATCTGGACACATCCTCTCCATGGCCATGCACCTGAGGCTCCCTATGGGCACCCATACCCTTCTCCCGCTTACACCTCTGCAAGTGCCAACATCTTCACTCCCACCCTCCCAGGCTGTCACGCAGCACTTGCTCCTCTCTCAAGGCTGGAAGCCTCGTCTGGGTGCTGTACTTCGAATGCCAGACAGCCCTTGCCCAATGCCATCAACAGTTATTTACACCTTTCAGATTAGCAGCAAAGATCATGTTGTTGATAACTTCTGTTGTCTTTAATAGACGATGCTTATTTGGCATGTGAAGTCCTTTGTCACCTCGCTTGGTGAGCTGGTGATTTTTGTCCATTCACATGTATCGCTTGTCCCTTGGTGTGTGGTTTAGTCCTTGACCCAGATGCTACTCTGTGAAGTTTTCCTGTTTCCCCTGCCAGGCATATCGGATGTCTCCCCTTCCTTCTAACCCCCTCTGCCCCAGCCCTTCCACCCGTCCAGCATTGTGTGCATGTTTGTTACGGTTCTTGTTTCACTGTTCATTCCCACAGAGAGTGCTTCTGTTAGACTGTTGCTCTTCCAGAGCTACGTTCTCAGCGTTTCACATAGTGATGAGTGCAAAGCATGTTCTGGATCCTGGTTCGTTAAATGCATGATGTTTTAACTCATGTGCTTATGGGCTGGTGCCTGACTTTAATCATCAGAACCAGGCTCTCCTGGAGTGCCTGCATGGCTCAGTCATTAAGTGTCTGCCTTTGGCTCAGGTCATGATCCCAGGGTCCTGGGATGGAGCCCTGCATCAGGCTTCCTGGAGAGCCTGCTTCTCCCTCTGCCACTCCCTCTGCTTGTGCTGTCTTTCTGTCTCTCTCTTAAAAAGCAAAAAACAAACAAACAAAAAAAAACAAGAACAACAACGACAAAAAAATAGGCTCTCTCTCCACAGTTGTGTCTTTTGATCATTGTCCTAGGCCAGTCTACTTATCAAACTTGATTTGAGATTATTAACACTTTCTGTGTTGGTGTTTGTATGTCATTTTGCATTGAGGGATATTTGGTGTAGGTTTCTTGAGAAGTACTTCCAAACCTGTCCCAGGCAGTACTACCCTTCCCAACATCTTCCTACGCTGTAGAATTTTTATCATTTTTGCATTTGTCAGTTGAGCCAAGTTTATTTTCCTCTAAAAAAATTTAAATATTCTGCTTAGACTAGCTCAAAAATCAATTTTAAATCTTTAATAGTTATTAAAAGTGTTTAAAAGTGATTAAAGGTTTGTGGAAATCAAAAAATGAAAATGTACTTTTTTTTTTTTTTTTTTTTTAAAGATGCTGTAAAA